TTGGTAGAGAAAGAGCTGAAGTGGGTAAGGATGGGAGAGATGATATGGGGCACGGAGATGATGCAGGGAGGTGTGTGGAAAATGGAGTGCGGTGGGCATAAGTGTGCTTGCAAGTGGCTGAAGGAGTTTACTCTGATGGTGGAAGATGGGGAATTTGGAAGGTTGGATGTGGAAGCTGAGATGAGCCTAAAGATAAAACTATAGCGATGATTATGACTAAAGAGAAATTCTCTTTTCCAAAATGCCATTCTTAGTTTTATTGATTTACCTTAGGCCCTCTTCATTTATTTGTCCTCTTTTCTGGATGTTACAGTAACTTCTTACCTTATTTGCCTCAACTCTTTATTCCAATGCATTAGTTTATTCAAATACACATTTAAAGACAACAACAAAAATGTTTCTATTGTGTGGCACCTACTGCCTAATTTTCTCACCCTGTTTTGTTGTTGTTGTTTTTAACATATCTGCTTTAAAAATCTTCAAAGTGGACTATGCCTACAAAATACACACACAAACCCCCTAACTCCACAGTGGGACATCAAGCCTCACCCCCACCTGCCTTTCCTTACTTAAGTCTGTATCAGGTTCTTCCAGGTCTACTTCCTGGCTAGCCACTGCCTATGAATGCCTATTTTTTAAAGCCAGAGAGACACCTTCTTTATGAATCTTTTTTCAACCTCTTAGCAAAAATTAATTCCTCCCTCCATTATGTTCAATTAGAGCATTAATCACATTGTATCATAAATTTGTCAAAGTCTCCTGGCTCACAGAAACCCGAACTACCTTTTCCCATTCTCTTTTGCATTCCTGTAGCCTAGCACATTGTCTGGCACAGTAGGTGACTAATTAATGTTTGCAGATTCTTTGGTGAATAAATAAACAGATGACCCTCCTTTAAAATATGTGAAGCAAGATTACTGGAGAAAATCAGATTTCAAAATTTCATCCCCTGAATAATTCCCCTTCTTACTAATAGAAAATGTGGCAGCCATACATATTTTGTCAATTTAGCTTAAACCAGTGGTTTATATAAAGTCTCCTTGTCCGCACGCCTCCCCTCTCTTCGCCAAGAACCTTGTAAATCCTGACTAAAGGCTTTTGTGGGCTGCTTGCACAGAGAAAAGGAGAATTTTCTGCTTTATAAATCCCTTACCAGATTTCTTCCTGCCACCAGCAGTCTGGAAGCTCTCTATCAGGAATTTCTATCTTTCAAAGAACATAAAGTTTTGAATACAAAGAGAAGAAATAATGTGAAAACCGCAATTCCTTCTGCCAGGCCTCCCAGCTGCCAAAACCCAACATTGCTTGGGCATCCATCAGAATCGCATTCAGGTGATTAAAAAAGAAAAGTCTCCTTTCAACCTTTAGCAAATGATTGAACTCTTAAAAACTGAATGCGCTTTTATGCTTGGTCTGAGTTTCCTTCCCATTCCTGTATTTCAAACGCATAGCAACTCTAAGTTTGCTGCTTTTGCTGATATAACATGTAAGGGAAGCCTTCCACCCAAGGGAAGAAAACAAAACCCCAGATTTACAAAACGGAAGAATTCTTTGCTCCTGCTCCCTTTCCCCAAAATCTCCTACCTGCCTCCAAACCAAAATACAGTCAGTAGGTAAGCAGTTTGTTGCGATCCTCTCTGAAGATAATTTCCTTGGGAAGGAAACTCAGTTCCGAGGCCCAGACGCCTCCACACACGCTGCCTCCGTCCCCTCCCTCTTGCCCTGTGCAACCTTCTCCAACTGCGCGCTGCGGTCCTTCTCCCAAAGCTAAAGAAAAAAAATTGTCCGCAATCAGGGGAAACGGATTAGCCTCTAATTCGGGGAAGCAGGGGGCTGCTCCCTTAAAGGGAGAAGAGCAAACTCAGAAAGGAAGTCGCAGCGGGCTTCCGTCTTGTAAAAGCCCATTTCTGAATCTTCCCAGTTTGGTGCGCCGGTCTCTAGGAGTGACTGCGCAGCCTTATAATAAAGAGGACGGTGGCCTGCCCCTGCGGCAGGAGCTCCTAGAGCCTTTCGTAACTTCCAATTTTCAGTCCCTTCTCTCACTTAAGGGGACTCTCCACCCTGTGCCAGCGCCTCCAATCGTCCCCCTCCCACACATGACCATTTCACTGGGAAGACGACCCTCTTCGCCTTCTAGGGAGCTTGCTGTGTTGAAAGCAAAGAGACAGCCACAGGATTTTAAGGATACCAGTCTTCACATCCCCCTTCCTTATAATACAGGGAGGAGAGAAAACAGCGGAAATTTAACACTGGTAACTATTATTTCATCTGAAGAACTAGCCCTCTAGAATGCCGCTAAATAGTAGATTCATAGTGAATAGTGAAGGTGCAAGCTGAAAACAGGAAGGACTGGGGCGGGGGGAGGGTCGTGGGGGACAGGGACAAGGAAGGAAGGAGTGCGGGAAGACCCTACATCTGTATCAGATTCCGGGTTCAAAACCGGCCACAGCCGGGACCGCAGTAACCTCCCCCGCCCCGGCCGCCTCGGCGCGCCTGTGGGGAGTGAGTGAGCGTGATGGATGGGCCGAGAGCGAGAGCGCGGGAAGGAGGCCGAGAGAAGCGAGGGAGGCTGCGCACAGGACCAGCCGCTCGGCCTCCTCTCCGCCAGCCGAGCCGCTCCGGGGCTGACATCATTGCCAGAAGGAGGGGCTGCCCGTGCGAAGGCGTCTGGAGAACAAGGTTCTCGGGCCTCGCTGGCGGAGGCGCTCCCTCGCCGCTTGCCAGGCGCAGCGCGGTGGTGGCCGGATTCAGCCCGCGTGAGCTGCGCGCGGCAATTCTTATTTTAGCGGAGGGAGGAAGGTATCTTTAGACCTTAGCGCGTCCATCTCTGGGTTCATTCGTCAGAACCGCCCGCACACCGTCCGCGCTTCCTCCGACGAACCAGACAAAGGGAAGAAAGGGGGAAACACATACAAATACTATTACTTCTACTTGCTTTCAAATGTCTCCCCACTCGCCCAGGAGAGGATAGCCCTAAGGCTGAGATTTCCCGCCGTGATTGTTTCAAACAAGATTGAGAGTGGAATTCCATTTAGTCTTCCCCAAGTTCAGAAGGTGCCCGCAAGTACCCTTTTTTTCCTTGAGTCACACCTGTTTTAACCTTTCATGGGATGGGAGGAGTCTCTTTAGTCTAAAGCGCCGCTACCTTCTCCGGTGTTTTGCTCAATGTTGAGGATTCTTCACACGCTCTTCAGGTTGTTTCCTTGTTGCAGCGCTAAGAGCACGCAAGCGGTGCCAACACCCTCGCCCCCTCCCCATATTACCTGTCCCCTTTACCGCCTATCGCGATGTTTAAACAATTTCTTCCACACACTTTCCTTCGCACAGTAACGGCTCCTATGTGGGGTTTAAACCCAAGCTTGGGATGTTTCCACGCAAGGACTCGCTTTTGTTTGGTTCTCCCTGTTTAATTTTATTTATTCTTTTGTCTTCGCCCCTCCCTCTCCTCTCAAGTCTTTGCTTTGTGGGTGTGTGCCGCAGTGGCGCAAGTTTCTATTCCCAGCCCCCTAGTCAACATTTTGGAAGGGCACCCCGCTTGGAGACTCGACCGCCCGCCCGCAGACGCGCGCGCACACGCACTCCACATGCGCGCCCCAGCGCCCCACACCCCAAACCGAAAAGGAGGCCAAAGCAGTGAAGCGCAGAATAATTCATTCTGAAAGCGGAGACGCCGTTTGCTGTTGAGCTCTATAAGTCTTTACTTGGGGGAGGAAAGGAAGTGGTTGGAGCTATACGCTCTTGGAAAGTGACACACACACACACACACACACACACACACACACACACACACCTTTATTTTTTCAAGGTGAGGATGTCAATTTGCGGCTAAGCGCGCACATGCAAGTCGTGTCTCCAACCGAGGGCAGACTGTCGCTCCGCTCT